CATTTCAGTAAATATAAGACTATATCCACAAATGTTTGCCTTACACATACATGCACATAACAAGGGAATTTAAAGAAACACAAAAGCGAATGCACAGCATCAAAAGACTGGAGTTAGAGGTCCTCAATAAGTACTTGAATTTTATTTGCTGTGTTTGCAACAAAATTGGTAACAGAAACCACATACAAATCCATGAAATCAAAATGAGTGAAATAAAATTAATTTACAACTATAAATGATTATTTGAGTGGAATTACTTCTACCAAATGTACTCGAACGCCCCCATTGCTTATTTTCTGTACAGTTGCTCCCAGATCAAGCAGACATTTCCAGGTAACAAAAAAGAGAGACAAGCTCATGACTGATTTTCCCACTAGAATTTCAGGTCCATGAGGGTTTGAAGTCAGCAAAGTTTATTACCATTGTCTCACAACAGTAGATTAGGAACCCTGTTCAAATGTCTGAAATGTATTGTTTGAAAATGTGTGCACTACAGAACACCTGGCTTTCCTTAGTGAAGAAAGGTCATTGTAAGGAATGACTGAATCACCAATATTCCCATTCTTTGTCAGAATAAACGCACAGGAACAATTTCATATAGAGTCGATGTTTAGCTTTGTTTTCTTCCTGGAGATATTCATAGTAATTTTTGGAATTTCATGTGACATATGTGAACACGTGTTCTAAGCCACAACTGTAGTTCAATGTGATGGCTTAGCATCCTTAAGGCAGCCATCTTAAGTTGCCCATGCTTGACTGTGTTCAGCTGTTTTAAGTGTTAGATCACTTTTGGCACATGTGCTGTTAGTTATTGGGGACTGGTTTATGACATTGTTGAAATCCACAAGTGTGTGAAAATCAATTGCTTAAAGATTGGGAAATTATTATGCTTCTGTTGCATTCCTTTATATCTTGTGATTTTAGAAAGCATTGGTGTATGTGTTGAACACATATACCATGACTCAGGCCTTCATTCTAACCACAGAAGGTGGGTTCCTTCTGTAGTTGTAGGGTGGTCACACTCCTGAAGGGGAAGATAAGTAAATTTTCCCAATATCATCACAGAACTAAGTCCCTTACCACCTCTGGACACTAAATGGGAATCTCACTCCTCCTTTCCCTTCCTTCTTTCCTCCCTCACTTTCTGTTCTTTCTTTCCTTGGGTCTAAGTATGACTCAGAGGAGTTAAACTCACCCAGCGCTTCAGCTATTCTAGCTGAAATAGCAGGCTAATGCTAGCTAATTGCCCTTGTAGTTAGCAAGCTTCAGGGAAAAGTCACTAAGAGGATATGAAGGAAAAAAATTAATAATTCTTTTAATCCTGAATGTACACATCAGTTGAGAAAAAAATTTCATCAGTTAATTGTTCTTCTGGAGAATTTTCAATTATACAATTTAGAAAAGGATCAAGCAATGAGGATTAAGAGAAATAAGCGTCATTCCTTCCCACTTTTGCTCCAAAAAAAAATATCTGTATTTCAATATTTTAAAAATTACCACAGTGGAAGCTATAAAAACTTAGTATTTCCAGATTAAAAAAACCATAAGTTATCCAATGTCCTTTTGGGCAAAATCTTCGTTATCTCTTTCACAGATGTACTGACCCATGTCTGATCAAGTCTGACCTGCAAGTTTAATCTGAAGAATCTCAGCCAAGTTTGGGAAAGGCTTTAGCTCTGAAAATTGCATACCAATGATCCACTTTCCTACTCTGACCTCTGACAGCCAACAATATATATTTATATCTGTGCAGAATTACAAGTCAAACAAGGTTGGCCTAAGGCTCATTTACCCTACATCTCTTCCTGCCTGAAAATCAGAAGCTCAAGACCAGCCTTCTCTCAATTTCCTTTTTCTAGCCTTTGACAGCTGGCTCTGTTTTTGACATAGGGCGGATGCTTAGGGAAGGAATTTGGAGCGGATTGCTGCCAAATGGGTATATGATTCCTGGGTGTCCGTAGATGCGTTGCTCTATTTTATGTATATTTCAGGGGATACCGGATATGGTCTGAGGTGTAGGCATGTCAGTGTGGGGTCATATCTGCAATGAATCCACCTCTGGATCCTGATCCAGTCCACTGATGTGACGCCTTCAACCTAAAAACACCTTCCACTTGCTTTTTTTCCTGCCTATATCATGACTAGAATGATAAAAGTTGGGTGTTTTTTTTTTCCAGTGGAGGAGGTAGAGTTTATTAAATCAGAGCACAGCAAAGGATCGGAGAAGATAATGACTTAAGTGGAACCCCATAGAGGGAAATACTCCTCAGAAGACAGTGGACAATGGCCAATCTACAGTTTTTATGTTCATTCTGTGTGTGTGTGTGTGTGTGTGTGTGTGTGTGTGTGTGTGTGTGTGTGTTTAGATGTGTAGATGGTACATGATCCATGATTCTCTCCACATTTATTTGGGTTCTGGAAATTGAACCCAGATCTCCAGGCCTCCCTGGCAAGCACCTTTACTTGCCGATCACTTGCCAGCCCATGTACCAGCCAACTTATATTTGTTTTTGTTTTAGTTTTTTAAAAGTTAAAATACGAGAGCCGGGCAGTGGTGGCGCACGCCTGTAATCCCAGCACTCGGGAGGTAGAGGCAGGCGGATCTCTGTGAGTTTGTGGCCAGCCTGGTCTACAAAGGGAGTTCCAGGACAGGCTCCAAAGCTACAGAGAAACCCTGTCTCGAAAAACCAAAAAAAANAAAAAAAAAAAAAAAAAAAAAAAAAGTTAAAATACGTATTTTAAATGATCTTTAATGGTTGTTCATTTAAAGCAAGAAAAAAAGATTGATAATTTAGCTCAATATACACTACTTAACAGGCCATTGCCCAAGTTTAGTGACCAACACCACACATACACACACCCCTCCTACACAACACACACGGAGAGACACAAATTGTTTTAGATGCTTATCATCCAGGAAAATTTGTAATGTTCAGAGGAAGACAGGAAAAAAGAAATTACTTAATTATCAAAGTTGGTCTCAGAAAGAGGAGGTAAGGTGATTTGTATTTTTAAAAAAGTCCTGTTATTCAAGGAAGAAGGAATTTTAACTTTTCCTACTTAAACAAAATTGAAGATTCCTCAGGCTAAATTATGGTAGCAGCCTCCAAGGTCCAGGAAGAAGAAAGAGTTCCAGAGAAGTTGAGGGAAGCATGTGCTTTTGGAGCGCAATCATCTCCAGGGTTAGAATAGAACAGAGAATTCACGTTGAATTGTTTAAACAGAACCAGCTCTCCTTCAAGTCAGAGAAGTGAGCAGTGTGAACTGACAGTGCTGGGCACGGGGGACTTCACAGCCAGAAGAGCCTCCCACCCGCTGCAGGACATCCTTTTGCAGAAGTAGATCAAGGCAAGGTATGGCGGCCCTGGAAACCCTTCCACTGCAGTCAGAATTTCCATCAAAGAGCAAAGAGAGCAAACTGTCTCTCCATCACTGCTGTGTCTGAATAAGCACATTAAACAACAGCAGCCCTCCTGCCATGAGGTCAGTTTAATGGTGAGGAAACCCAGCAGCAAGCATGGTGTTACAATGGCATCAAAATGAGGTGATAGTGAGTTGTATGATGGCTGGCACCCCTACAAAGCTGCAAGGCCAAAATGGTCTGGATGATTTTGAGCACCCATTGATTTCTGTTCTCTAGTGGAGTGTTCAAGAATTACAGTGGGGGAAGTGGAGAAACTGGACTTAACTGGACTTAAATGCTTCTCCTATCAAGTGAGAAACAAAACTTCCATATAGAGCCTCACTGGAGAAATTTTTATATATGTGTGTATGTATGTATATATACATACATATAAATATATTAGTTTTATGTTTTTCTGGGGTTCCTGGGTGTGAGAATAAATGGATCTCTGTGTTTATATCTGTTTCTTGTGCCTTTTCTTGGATTCCTTTCCTCCTGTTTGTTTTCTTCTAATTCCAATATCTTTGCTTTTATTTTATCTTATCATACTTTGTTTTAGTTTATTATTATCCCTTAGAGGCCTGTTTTCTAGGAGAGACAGAAAGTGGGTTAATGAGGATAGGAGGAGAGGTGGGGAGAAACTGGGAGGAGCAGAGGAAGGGGAAACTTATCAGGATATACTGCATGAAAAAAACTATTTCAATAAAATAAAAAAAAACAAATTTTAAATAATTTAGACAATATTATTTTGCATAACTTATTACATAAATGACAGAATGCCATTTATATATGTGTGTATGTATGTATATATACATACATATAAATATATTAGTTTTATGTTTTTCTGGGGTTCCTGGGTGTGAGAATAAATGGATCTCTGTGTTTATATCTGTTTCTTGTACCTTTTCTTGGATTCCTTTTGTCATGAATTTTTCTTTGCTTCTTACCTCTATGTACATAATAGTATAGAATTCACCACCCATTCTTTCTACTCTGTGTAATGTCCAAGGAGAGCTCTACCTTTCTTGTGCTGAATGAAGTCGGGGGCACTTCTTCTTTTTAACTACTGGAAGAGTGAATGCCCTCATTTATATCTTCCAAGGCATATATCTCAAAAAAAAAAATGCTGGGTCACAAGCATGCATCCCTTAATTTTTATAAAATGCTTTTCAGAATGCTTGTAATTATTTGTGTTTTTTCTCAGCTGGGTATGTATGTATATATTACCCAGGCCATACTTGTCATATAGAACCATTTAAAGTTCTGTCAAGTAGTCAGTATGAAATATGCTTTGATTTCTAAATTCTGCGCTTGGAAGGATAAGAACAGCCATTTTCTTCATATGCCTGTTGTCAATACAAGCTTCTGTTTTGTGAACTGCCCTATCTTTCCATTGGTCTTTTCAATCAAATCACCATTCTCTGTAGGAATTTGTATGTAATCCTGGTAACAAAGCTTTGACTGCAACCGTGTTGTAACGACTTCTTCACCTCTGACTCACATCAACTCGGTAATGACGTCTGCACTAGCTATCTGTTGCCGGGAAGCAAGTCACCACAAACACAGCGGCTGAGAGCACTGCACACTTATTGTCTCACTGTGTCTACGGTTGAGAGTTGGTCCTGGTGCAGCGAACCCTCTGCTTCCGTGCCCCTCACAAGGCTATAATCAGGCTGTCACCCAGAATGCAAGCCCCTGTGAAGAATCAACGGAGGGCTTAGTCGGCTTTTCATTTACCTACATGGCATTCTTTTGTGTTGATCTTCAGGGCATTACATTTGGGCCAGCTGATGGCATAGCAACATGACACCTGCTTCACTGAGTCAAGGTATCAGAATCTTTTGTTATTAACATAGGAATGACAGGCTCTGCATGTTGACACTTTCTGTTGGTGAGAAATAAGTTACTCCTAAGGAAGTAATTACCCAAAGCCATGAGTAGCAAGGGAAAGGATCAAAGGAGAGCATATTAAGCCCTATTTCTAAATTAATTCAATATTTCTGTTTGTACTTATAACAAGAATCTGCTAGTTGAAACTTTCCTTTATGGTTTTGCTCACATATCATTCTGTCCTCAGGAAGTAGCCTATATTTTACCTATTAAGTTTTCAGAGCCACCTTGATTTTGTTTTACTTTATGGTGTGAACAACTGATCATTTTTCTATATATAAAATTAAATATCCCATTAAAACCATGTCCCCTCAAATTTGGAGTTACATTACACTCTTGCCCCACTCGTGATTTTGTTTCTGTTTTATTCCTTTTGGTCTATTTCTCTCCTGGGGTAGCAGTAGCACCTCACTATATAGAAGATGTTCCCTTAACTTTATACTGACTCAGAAACTAGAGTGCATATCTCGTTTTTTTCCAAACAGTCTTGGTAATTATTCTGCATTTTTACTCTATGCCTTCTTCTTAATATGTAGAAGATATTACAAAACCTGTACTGAAGTTTCAAGTGTTTACACAATACTGAATTTTATATATTAAATTCATATATTAAATATTATATATGGGAAATAAATATATATTCATTCATATATATGATGAAGCTTAATCTGTGCATTATCATAGCAAGAGATTAATAACAGTAACTAATACTAAAGAACAGTTATAGTAATATGCTGTAATAAAAAAGTCTTTAAAGGCTGCAGAGGAAGAAGGTTCAGTAGTTAAAAATAGATGCTGTTCAATCATGAGGACACCCAGTACCCACACTGAGAAGCTCATAACCACCTGTGACTCCAGCTTTGATTGATCCAATTCCCTCTTTCAGTTTACACACACACACACACACACACACACACACACACACACACCACCGTGAATGAAACTTTAAAAAAAAAACTTCTTTAAAACTAGTTATTTTGTTTTGAGTTTGAAAGCCTCCTGCCCCAAGACTCATTAAGTAGAGGGTTGGCTGCCAGTTGATGAACCAAGGGGAAGTTGGTTATAGAGGGTCCTAACTTATTCAAAAGATTCAACACTGAATGAATTCATAATCAGATGGCATTATTGAGAGATGGGGAAAGGAGGAGGTGCAGGATCAAATTAATTAATGTGTACTTTGTCAATATTAATCATTCATAGACAAATTCAGCAAAGTAAGCCCTTGTCAACATTTTTTCCTATGCAGTAAAGGTGATGCAATTGTCAGTTCAGGACAACTTTGAGATTATATCTAACACACACTTGATGTGCAATGTTCTACAGAACAACCGTGTTTATAATTCTACTTTTCTTTCCAGTGTGACTTCAAAATGTTTCTTGCTTTTATGAAGTGTCCTGTTCAAAGTCCTAGACACTGGGTACCATGTCTCTTACCGGTAATTTCAGCACTTTGGAGGCAGGATGATTGTTAAGTTCAGGGCCAACTGGGTAGCTACGTGGCAAGACTGTCTAAAACTAACCCTTGCCCCAGTGGGTTGGGAAATGCTGAGTCAATGGGAACAGACAATTTGCAAAGAATTGCTCTGGACTTTTTGACCTGAATTTCTAATTTTGATGCTACCGGCAACATTCTGGCAATGAGGTAAAATAGATTTTCCAAGTTCTTAGGCAGCAAACCCAGAAGTTCCTTGTTAACAGTGGGGCCATTGTGTAGGCAGTTTAGCCCTTAGTCCTAAACAGGACTCTGCAAGATTGGAACAAGGGTAAAACTCACATTTTCTACAGTAAGGCCGTCACAGAGGGACTCTTATTTGAATGCGACAGCTGGCTAATGAATTGTAAATGACCCCAGAGATAGTATAGTGGCAAGTACCAAGTCTCCTTGCAAATGCTATTCCTGCTTTTACCTCCTGATGCCCTCAGATACCCTTTTGGCCTCTTCCTACTGTTTTTATGTGCATTATTCCTAGCAACTGTAAACAGATAATGGCAACCTTTACATGGCCCTCATCTAGTCTTAAGTTGCAGCCAATAACTGCCCATAACAATAGTAAATATCCACTACCTTTTCCTGAGGTAAGACAAGTCCAATGGGGGAACCTATGCTCCAGATCTCCTCTCAAGGTTGGGACAATGTCTGGACATCACTTAACCTCACACCATCACTCCTCTCCTGTAGCAGAAGGCCATTTGTTCATTACCAGGTGCCCAGACTCGAAATAACCATACAGAAACTGTATAAATTAGATCACTGCTTGTCCAATAGCTTGAGCATATTGTTAGCTAGCTCTTACATCTAGAATTAACCCATTTCCATTATTTTGTATTTTACCACGTGGCTTGTGGCCTACTGGCAAGGTTCCAGCTGGCAGCTCGCATTTTTCCTCTCTCATGGCTACATGGTGTCTCCTGACTCTGCCTACTGTCTATATATTTCTTTTCCAGACTGGCTATGTTCTGTTGAACCACTGGCCAAGAGCATCTTCTTTATTCTTTAACCAATAAAAGCAGCACATATACAGAAGGACTTCCCACACCACTCTCCTTTATCATTCCTTTATCATTTCTGCCTCTTCCTTGCTGGTTTCTTCTGGGAACACCCACTTGACAAATCATCTACATTTCTTCCTGAGCTTTAGGTTTTGCTTCGGAAGACATCACCCATAGACCAATGTTATATGTCAAGTGCCACACCACTGATTCATTTCCCAACTCTGAGCTAATCCTCACACAATCTCTTTATCTTCGTGAATGTTACTGTCATCAAGGGAAAGACAAACGTTGAACAAAACTTTTCCCACTTAAATGATATTGGTGTTTTTCAATCTATGATGTCTCTGCTGGACAAATCTACCAGAGTTCATGAAACTTCTCATACCGTTTATAATTAGAGTCGGAACAACCCAGCTTTAGTACTTTGTTCTTTGCAAGAAGCAAATAACATCTTCAAAGGGTTTAAAATATGTTTATGGGTTATGTTTGTTTTACAGTTACTTTTCTTTTGAAAAACTCATCAAATAAGTGGAAACAGCAAGGGTAAGCCTACATTTAATATGATCTGTCATCCTTTTGATAATCAGTTAAATATTATCACAATCATGTCATCAGCATGGGAAACCCCCATATGGTCTGGTAATAATTTCTGTTCAAGACTGACCTTAAGCAAGGAAGGACTGAAGAGGACTTGGACGTAACTGCACTGACTTATTTCACTTTTGTGTCCCCCTAAATGCATAAAATTGGACATAGAGCAAAGATGACATGAAAACTAAAGTTTCAAAAGCAATGTCTACTTTGGATCCTCATTCTTTGGATAGATTGGTGAATGGACGGTCATAATTGTGATTGCTATTTCTGTTATAAAATACCTCAAGCAAAAGTGAATTGTGGATGAGAGGGTTTATATTTCTTACACTTCCACGTTGCCAGGCATCACTGAAGGGACTGAGGGCAGGCTCTCAAGCAGCACGGAACCTGAAGGCAGAGCTAGGGCAGAAGACATTGAAGGGTGATGCTTACTGACTTGCTCCTCATGGCTTACTCAACCTGCATTGTTAGAGAACCCAGGACCACCAGCCCAGGGGTGGCTCTACCCACAGAGGACTTGATCCTCTGCCGTAAATCACCAAATAAGAAAATGCTCTATAGTCTCATCTAAAGCCCCATCTTATGAAGGCATTTTCTCAGTTGAGGTTCCCTCCTCTCTGATGACTTTAGCTTGTGTCAAGTTGGCTTAAAACTAGCCAACACATAAACTATAAACTGTATAATTGAAACTAATCTAATGAAGTTAAGACGGTTTCTTCACTTTTTAAAAGAATTGCTGTAGTCCCTGGAGGTGATTCCTCAGGTTCCCATCTCTGTCTCTTTTTCACATTAACTGTTCAGATGTTCTGTCTCCTGTGTCCTATTTCTTCTTAGGTATGGGAAAAAGGAGAAAAGATACAATCTCTGTCCAGACTCTCCATGTCAGTTTCTTAACTCTGTTTCATTATCTGTGAAATGGAGCTGGCAGGAGCACTTGGGAAGAATCAAGTTGCTGACAGTGATTACTCATTCCTAAAACTAACTCCTGTAATTAGGTGATACAACATGACACTGCTTCCTCACTGCTTGATTTAATGTAGAAATAACATTTTAAAACCAAGGAGGACAGCAATCCAAGTTTTAACAGGAGTACTCTTGGTGGCACAGGGCTAGGAAGGAAGACATTATCCTTTTTTTAAAGTCATCTTCCTACTGCTACATTTTATATATTTCTGTTGATGGTCATTTTATCATGCTGGACAGTCTGTAGGCTAATTTTATTAGGCATTTTTTCTTTCATGTGCCTATGGTAAGAGAGATGCACATATTGGTAATAAGGTAGCTTTGGAAAATATGGAATGCCTATTCTTTAAGTAAATCGATCTTTGAAATGTAACTGCAAAGGGTCAAAGCAGAAGAGCTTAGGGCAGCAAAGCAGGCACACACGTGTGTGTATGCATGTGCCTGTGAAGGCCAGAGGACAATCTCAGATTTCCTTCAGGCACACTGACCTGGAGCTTGCCAAGTTATCTAGGTTGCCTGGAAACAAATTCATAGCATCCATCTCTGCCTCTCCAACTCTGGCTTTATAAGTGTGTACCGTCACATGCAGCTTTTCATCAGTTTTATTTGTTTGTTTGCTTGCTTGTTTTGAGATAGGGTTTCTCTCTGAAGCTCCGGCTGTTCTGGAACTCACTGTGAAGAACAGACTGGCCTTGAACTCAGAAATCCTTATATCTTTGTCTCTCGAGTACTAGGATTTAAAGAATGTGCCAGTAGGGTAAGAGGGCTCAAATTCAGGTCCTTATGCTTGCAATGCAACCTCTTTAACCAAGTGAGCTATCTCCCTAGCTCCCAAAGCTGGAGAACAGTTGAAGTCATTGCATTTCTTCCTTAAAACATCATTTATTTCAGAAAACCATTAACAAAATTGTAATCCTGAGATTAATAAGCTATGTTCTACCAGTTACACAATCTGGAATCCATGAGTTATAAGTAACTTTCACAAGTGAATATGCTCATGAAGGAATTAGCATCCTTTCTCACTAAAAACATTTTTAATTATAAATTTGTTGGTGACAATAGAGTGGAACCCTAAACACCTTAGGAGAAACCTGATAGATTTTTGACTCAGGAAAGTGTTTACATTTTAGTGGGCTCAAGTCATAGCTTGCCTGGTAGCCAAGCATTTTCTTGGCTAATTATCAATAAACTACATGTATCCCATCTGTCTGTATTAGTCACCAAGGAGAAAAGCATTTGCACTGTTGATTGGGAAAGATGTATCAGGGGTGTGGAAAGTGAGATGAAGATGACAAGGAAGCTCCTCTCTGGGATGTTCTCCAGAAGTCGGCATTGCAAATTTAATGAAACTAAGTCTGGGGAATTCTGGGAAAATATGGAAAGCACAGACAGAGCTATTTCAATAGGAAACCAAAGGATCAATCATTGGATACTGTATGCTACTAAAGGGTGCTAATTTTTAGAAAATCATTAGCCTACAGTTTCCAAAGTAGAGAAGTAGAAGGGCCATCTGCAGTGGGAGAAAGTGCACCAACCAAGAGACACAGATCTGATCTCTTGAAAGTGGGCCAACAGATGCAGAAGTTCCAGGGTTGAGGGCTACAGTCAGGATGGTAAACATCCACCCCATAAGTCAAAGAGTCACATCCTACAGTGTCCTCACCCAAACGCAAATGAGATTGTAACATGGTTCATTAAAATGTAATCACCCAAGCCAAGCCTGTTTTATTAGTGATCTCAAAATTATGTATATCTTTCATAAAGTCATCTCAAAAATCAAAATTGTATATATATATATATATGTGTGTGTGTGTATGTGTGTGTATGTGAAATGTATATTTATCACTACAATGTATTTTTAATAATTGGGTTCTTGTTAGTTCCCTCACATTAAATTATCTATTCCTTAAGAATACATCTTATTTGAAAAACCCTTTGCATTTATTTCAGGTTTTGCTTTCTATTAATCAATCACACTTTGTGTTTATTTAGAATAATTTTACTGTTCTTACTTATCTTTACTAAAATTCTAAGACTTTAAAAAGCCAATATCTAAAACCAGAATAAACCAGCATTTACTTTAGAAGTCATCTTCAGAATTATGCATGTTAATTTCCACTAGTACCATACTCTACTTCAGCTCGCATCATTAAAAGAATCTAATGGAATAGGAAAGTGCTAGCTTCTGTTACTGCTACAAGATGACTTTAAATAATAATGTAAAGGAGGAGAGAGCTATCTGAATCCTAGTTTAAGCCTGCTGCCATTTGGTTACCATGTTTCTGGGCTGAACACCACATAAGGAGCATGTGGTGAAGCAGAATGCTCACCTCATGGTAGCTAGGAATCAGGAGAAAGAGGAGGAAGGATGAGGCAAAAATGTACCTTCAAGGGAACACCCTCCCCCTAACTCACTTACTTTTTCCACAGAGGCCGCATTTCCTATTTTTCATGTTCCCCCGTTATGCACACATATATAAACAAATTCCCCCGTTCTTCTATGAACACATATATAAACAAATTAATATCCATGAGGTTAAAACCTCATGGTTCAGAAGCCCTACCTACATGACTGCTTGGGAGACCAAGCTTTCAACACATGAGGCTTTGGGAATATTTCAGATTCAAACCATCTTACACAGGTTAGAAGGTCTAATAGACAATTTGTGTACACATAGTAGCAAATCTATAGAGAAGAACACAAGATCCTCTCTAGATATGAGCCATCCTAAGAAAAACATGCCTAAAAAAATTCTGTAAGATCCTACTCAAACTACGTATTTCCAAACAAAGCAAATAAAGCATAACTTGAATTTATCCTGGTCTGCTCTTCAGTACTGAAAGTATGTACTTTTTCGTATGTCCTCAATCTTGTATAGTCATCACTCAGTATCCAAATGGATTGGCTAATTGAGTATGAGAGTACAATCTCTCATACTCAAATCCATACCAATATGATCAATTCTCTAATAAAAAAAATTGTATATATGCATTTAACCTTACACAACCACCTATCTTCTGTACAATCTCTAGGTACAGTACAATCCTAATAAAATGTACATACCACATAAATGACTATTATCCTGTATTGTTGAGGGAATAGTCACCAGAAAATATAATCTATATGTGTTCAGTATAGATATAGCCCTAATGCTTTTATTTGCAGTTGATTGCATGGATGTGAAAAAAATTGTACAGAGAATTGATTGTAATTATTTTATTCATTTTAGCTTAGTGGTTGCATAAATAGCTCCATAACTTTAGCATTAGGGTCTTGTTTAACTCTTCTTTTAGGTCTCTGGGCTTGATCATGCAACTTATTTTCGTCAGTAGAAGGATAGAGCACATAACCAGAAAATCTTTTGTGTAATTTGGTTCCTTCTCGCCCTTGTTTCTCCCAAGGCCACAATGTCATAACATCAGGTAAGGGCATCAGCTACCAGATTACCAACACCATTGACAGGAGTGAGCCAACATGTATACACGTCTAAAGAAGTTTGGGTAGCTTTCATGTTTCTACATGTTCCATCGTTTAAAGTTTGTTTATATTTACTTAGCAAGGATAGAAAACAAAGAGACTACCCAGGTTCTGAATATCACATCTGAGGACTGTGTATAAGTAGAAAAGTATTCAGTACTAATACGCAGTATGAGTGTTTATATATGTAAATATGGTTCAGAGCTCTGCACTGAATTGCTTATGACCATGTAATGTGCTATAAATAATGCCATGTGATAGACGAACACTTTTCTATGTTCAGAGAACAGGTATTCATTCATATGTACTACTGGGATAAAAAATAAAATCTGTAAATGCAAGAAAGATAACATCAAGATCAATATTAGCAAAGCAGCCTCACCAGCCCATAGCTAGCCCAGATCAAGGAAGAAACCACGAGGGGAAGAGTTGAGTTCAGCTCTGATCAACTGAAACCACAAACTCTAGAACTAAATCAATATCAATATCCACTGGGCCTCTGTAATTATTGTTACTACTTTATGTGACAACAGCTGACTGATAGGCATGCAAGTTTCCGGGGTCTCTGCACCCAACCTTTCCTGTTTACTCTTACTCCTATCACACTCAGTGGATTGCTTTACATACATGAGGTATTTGCAAACGGTTTGCTGATCCAAGGACTGTCCCCATTTCACCCCTATGGAATGCTGGCATCCCGTAAAAGATGCCTCAGTATATGACTTCTAGAGGTCTTCACTTGAAATCGGCATAGTACTTATCAATTTACCAGCCACTTACGATATTTTTACTAAAACATGACTTCGAGATTTATAACAGTATTTTCAACTTAACAAAGAGATTTAATACAGGATTCTGCCATGAAGTTCTCAGCAGTTAGCAGTATGTTACAGGGGGGAAAAAAGGAGATGAAAATTTAGGTGATTCCTAAAATTTAGCATCAGAGAATCACAAATTCACCTATAACTAATCTTTATAAATTAGTTGGAATCCTCAGAAAGTACACGATAACTCAATGTAAGATGAACATCAAGTAGCTTATAAATAGTATGAAAAGAACCACATTTTCAAAGATTCAGAACACACAATTACATTTTGGAGCTGCACATTATGTACTTAGGGCTTCAAAATGAAGGCATCTGCAATTTATTGTCGGGATTGTATTATGTGTGTATCCAGTGAAAATTGGAAAATATCTCAGAAAATTGAATAAGAATTTAAGGGGGAAAACATCCCAAATAAGTCCCATAATGGTAGGAATGATTCAGCCTCAAACAAGATTCTCAAACAGCTCCTTAGAAGAAATAAAGTCTTAGCACCATAGCCTTAACACCAACTCAGGCAAGAGCCAAGGGGAAACAGCGATACAGGAAGAAAGATGCTTGCTTTTTATTGATCATAAACATTTTTATTTTCAAATAAATGCTATTGGAAAATGCCTTGACACTTAAATCTAACAATTTGTTCTAAGATTTTACAGCCCATGAGAAGTCGTTCTGATGAGTCAGCCAGTCTGGAGGACTTGGCCTCACAGGAGCGATGTTGCTGCTTCACAGAAGGTTCTATGGGACAACACAACTGTGACATCATTAGGATGATTTGAATTCACTCTCACAATCCAAAGAAATGATCAAGACATATGTACTGCCAAACATTTCTGATATTTTAAATAATACTTGCCATCAGCCTGTTAGAGACTGGGAAAACCCCAGAACTGACTGACTTTTGCTAGAAGAAAGGCAGGTGTTGCTTAGATCTAGTGAACGTTGGGTAGGCTATTTTAAAGAGGTTTGTTTATATAGTTCAGTGTTCAGTTAAGTGAGGAATAAATTTAGAACTTCAGCCAAACAAAAAAAAATAAACTTTGAGCTATGCGAGAGGGAGAAATAAACTTTGACCTTCAGGAGTTATCATAAAGCTAGTAAATACAGATGTTGACTATAGCCTGTAGAGTGTAGAGTCTGAAATATATATCCAGGCCAACTTAAATTTATATATTTAAGAAGAATATATTTATAAGAAGAATATAAATATATATTTAAGAATATATATTTATGAAGGCTACTGTGAATAAAATCTTAGAGGAATCAAGTATAAAAAGATCTGAGATCTCATCTGATGGCTGAGGAATACATACATAATGGAGCAGATTATGTAGTGAATGTATGACTAACATCATATGGATACAAATTCATTTCATCTGGAACACACTTTGGAGGAAGTTTTCATGCATAATAATTTCAACAAGCTACCATATTTATAATTCTATTTTATGCTCTTCTCTACTGGAATCTTTTCAGAAGAAAATAGCTGGTGTTGAGAAAGATTAAAATCTATTCATTCCTTCTCTTTTATTCTCTTCACACAGATAGCTTTGTCTAAAGCATGCCATCTCAGGAATTCTTCAGGAATATTTAGCTTCTTCCGGACTCTCTCTGGGGAAAAAACATATTTCAAGATATCCATAAAGTCTATAAATAAAAAGGAACAGAGCCTTATTACACAGAAATTTTGCCCATTAAAGGTGAGAATATCTTTCTAAATTCCATATTTCCTTTAGGTGGTTATTTTGGAATATTTTTCTGTAAGTGAAATTTACTATTTCAGGCAGATTACACATTTAGACATCCTGATATTCTGGTAGGAATTTATCTCATTGAGGTGAAGAATTACATTATCTAGAATAGCAAAATATAAATGATAGTATTAGTGAATTTTCCTAACAAAGTTTATGATCTATAGGAAACAATACCATGACATGTCCAAATGTGAGCTTTCTTCAAATAGGCATTTACTAATGTATTAGTTGTAAATGTCTTGGATTTTAATGACCAGTTGAAAACAAGCAAACATTAACAGAGGAACTTTCTGTAATTAAGATAAAATATCTGCCCATTTTAACCACAGAAGCCAACACTATAGAATTCTCCACAATGAGTACCCTCAATTTCTACTACTCTGTGACTTAACTACATAAAATTCTAGAGTCAAAATTTAAGGAGAAATAATAGTTAAAAGCTTCCATATAATTTATTTCGAATATGCCTTTTATCTTTTCAGTGTAGGCCACTGAGAACAAGATCTATTCTTAAAAGATGGAAATAAGGCAGGAGAAATGTGCCAAAACCTATTAATGCAATGAGTGCATCCAAATGTTAGCCGTGACAGCAAGGCTAGTTCACTCGAAGGTTAGCTAAATAATTACTTTAAGGACTCACTGTCCTTCCTGGGAAAATGGACCACAATGTCAAAAGTTCTCATGATGTGAAAGCATTCAGACAGTCATAGTGTGGATTAATAACTGTTGATAAATCATGAAATTTGCTTCATGAATTGCAGGATATACATTAAATGTTGGTTTCGATTTTCCAGCTGTATTTGTACTGAAATCTTTATGCCACTTCTCTCTATTAGGCAGGTGTCTCCTAGCCTACCTCAAGTGCCAAGTGTAGTTCAGTGTTCCTATTGCCATCATGGGAATGGAGCTTTGGTTGAGGAGCCCAAGTGCATAGAGAAATCACCATGAGGTGGAGGCTTATTATGACTTCATGAACAATCAGTAAACATTATCTTGGAGGAGTGAGATTTGGAGCCCTTATGCTATCCTACAAACTAATTGTTTAGCATGGTTCCCAAAACACAGCAAAGGTTTTAAAGCCATGTTTTTCATTAATGACTTACAGTAATGCAAAGAGTTGTCCAAAGACAGAGAACCCTGATTGCTCTTTGGGCTGACAGGGAGGGGGACTTGATTGGGGGAGGGGGAGGGAAATGGGAGGCGGCAGTGGGGAAGAGACAGAAATCTCTAATAAATAAATAAATTAATTAAAAAAAAGAGTTGTCCAAAGACTACACTGATAGGAAGAAGATTTAGAAGCTTTCTGTCAGTATTAAAATATGAATATGTGTTAGTTCTTACTGTTTTTCTGAGTCGCTCAGGTGATGATTCAGATCCTGATTTGTATCAAGCCAGGATTAAGAAGCTTAGAAGCAGAGTGTGTGAGCATAGGGAAACCCATGCAATAAATTGTTTGGGTCATTAATCGCGAGCTGTGCCATACATACAGAATCTCAATTTGCTCTTCATCTGATTGTCGCACCTAGTCTGTCTCCTGCAGTCGCCCACTGATCTTATTATTTCCTTTATCTTTTCCTCTATAGGTGCTTCCATCCAGGCTCAGTCAGTATTGCTTCCACTTTTGGCTTTCTTTTTTGTCTGATTTTATCTGCATGATGCTAACTAATGTGGAAGAATTGAATAATCAGCATATAAATGACCCAAACTAAACTCACCTTTTCCTTCTGAACATGGCTGCTGTTGAAGTATTCTTAGAATGAGGAAATACAGGTGGTAGCCTAAAACCCGCACTGCCTTCCCTCACCGTTCTGTAATTCTTAGCCACTAGTTTCTTAAATTTCATCAACACTGTTTCCGAATATATTTAAAATTAATAATCATTTCCTCCCTTTTGACATCTTTATTGCATTACTTCTTTATATACTAATTGCCTTGTAAAATGTTTCTGGCTTTGTCACCTCCAACCCTAATGTCATTTCATCCGTAAATGGATGTCAGATTTAAGAAGCTCAAAAAAAAAAAAGACATGCTATTTTTCATTTCTCAACTCAGAATAATTTCATAAGTCCCTACAAACCACCAGACTGAAATTAGAATAATGATCAAATCCATTATAATTTAGACTCAGATCTTTGGTGTCTACCTCTCTTATTACACATTTGTTTCTTCATAATGCATGATCACTGTACATTACAAGTGCCACACTTGCTAACACTTCTGTTTTTGTTAGTTTCTTGTCTTGGTAAATCCTTGTCTTCTATCCCAGAGATCCTAGTAACCTTCAGAGGCTGAGATCAGATGCAAGGTTCATGTATTGTTCTACCACATGGAATTCTTTCCTATTACTTGTATTCATTGGTCTCGATTAACATCACTACATTACTTAACTAATACTAGATGGTGAAAATATACCTTTGATGAATCGGGATGACAATAACCAAGCGCATTTTATGTATTTTCAATGAACATAACTTCACAGGCAAAAATGAAATCGGTGAGATACATATATCAATAATAAAACTAAAGTACAGAGAAGCTGCTAAAAGTGAAAAGTTTTCATCATGATTTTGACCCTCACTTGGATGTTTAAGACTGCACTTGGAAGTTTAAACGAAAGCAACACAGTCGTTCAGGTTATTTTGATTGATTGATTTCTGCCCCTTTGCCCTTTTTCTTCTGTTGGGTCAACTACCATAGGTTCATATTTTCTGTATTTCTATCCAGCAAAGCCTCTGCCTGTGTTTCTGCTTCAAGTGGAATATTCAGTAGCAAAGGTTAACACCATGCTTTAAGGGTATTCTTATAAAATTAAGGATAATATCGTAATAGTAATTGAGCTTCTATCCTCTATCAACATCATGCTGTGCTTTTATACGTATAAATATTTAATTGTCTGCAAAAATCAAGTGTAAATTTCACATATCATCAAAAGGTTATACATTAATACTACAGCCTTAATCGCTCTGCAAAGAATGGCAAAATGAACATAGAAGGCAATACTAGTTGTCCGAGAGTGGTCAAGAGAAATTCTCAAAGAGAAGTGATAAATTTCTTTAAGAAACTGTTCAACAGAATCTATTAAGCCTAAAGATATTAAAGAATATCCAGCAGGTCAACTCCTTCTTAATCATCCACAAGAAAACACAGAAAAAATAGACAAGGAGTCATTTGAGTCATAGCCAAACTGCGTAGTACCTTTATCAGAATGGATAAATCACATTATCATGTCACGGATCAGAAGGAGTGAAAAATTTACAAGTTCACCCAGCAGCAGAGGCTTTTATCAGAGATGTCACCTGTAGGATAATATACTCTTACTTCCATTTATCTAGAACTTAATAGAAAGTAAATGCAATGCAGTTTTAGAAGTAGAGCGGTGACCACTGTTCCCCTGAGAGGTAGAATGATCCCTTCATTGATTTAGATCTTAAGTGCGTGGGTGTGTTCAGCCTGTCGGAGCCCGTCAAGCTGCACACTTAAAGTTTTCACACTTACAATTATACTTATGTGTCTTTAGTAAAGCTACTGATAATCTTCAGGAAGACTGTGCATTCCTTTTTGTGATTAATGGATATTATTGCCAAGTAAGTGTAATGTAGGACTTCTAGCCCCCTGAGCCATCTTTGTTGGTCCCTACAATTTTCTTACTATCATCCTCATAATACTAAGGATAAAACAACTCTTCTCTCAGAAAACTCCATTCAGGAATCAAATCCTCAGTGTTCACACACAGTTTAAATACCTAGTCCAAATGTCCAAGTCCCCACATAGTTTTATTTTTTTAAAGAATCCTCTGTGTGCTTCTGTGTTTTCCCTTATATTTTGACCCAAAGGTGGGCAAGTCTTAAAGCAAACATAAATATTGTGATGGATCAGGAATAAAATCTCCTAGGATACCCAAGATCTATCTTCCACAAATGTATACAAATACACACACACAGAGGGTGAGAGAGAGTGTGTGTGTGTGAAAGAGAGAGTCTGTGTCACTTACTCAGCATGCATCTGGGGCTGGATTGAATAGTGATGAAGATCTCAGATGTTCCTTGCTTTTATAGGCATTCGCCTTCCGAGGGAGTTTCGGGCTGAACACTTTCACGGACAGATCTTAAAATAAGCCTGAAGGCACAGATATTTTGCTAGGGGTGGGCAGGAAAGGGGAGGAAGAAATGAAAGGAGGGAGGGAGAGAAGGAGGGAGGGAAAGAAGGAGGGAGGAAGGGAGAGAGGGAGAGAGGGAAGGATTGAAGGAAAAAAAGGAAGGAAGGAAGGAAGGAAGGAAGGAAGGAAGGAAGGAAGGAAGGAAGGAAGGAAGGAAGGGAGAAAGGAAGGTAGGATGAAGTTAAGAATGAAGTAAGGAAGGAAGGAGGGAGGGAGGGAGGGAGGGAGGGAGGGAGGGAAGGAGGGAGGGAGGGAAGGAAGGAGGGAGGGAGGGAGGAAGGGAGGGAGAGAGAGAAGGAGGGAGGAAGGAAGGAAGGAAGGAAGGAAGGAAGGAAGGAAGGAAGGAAGGGAGGAAGAAGGAAGGAAGGAAGGAAGGAAGGAAGGAAGGAAGGAAGGAAGGAAGGAAGATCTGTGCAGAAAGGGAAATTAAAGCCCACCACCGCATTTTATCTTTGAAATATTCAAAAAAGAACACCTCATAGTTCTCAAGGGCCCATCACCTTCAAGCCCTCACTGGTACTGGACTGCTGGTAGCTGAACTCACTCTGGCCTGCTTCCCTCTATAGGCTGAGTGTGAACTTGTGGAAGCCTGAGAGAGAGAGATGCTAGACAGGGAAGCTCAGGCTCCTAGAATGGTGCCTCAGGCCGGAGAGGGAAATAGAGACAGAAGTGACTTTAGAGTTTCCTAAATTGAACGTCGTGGCTGGGAGTGTAGCTCACTGGTCGAGTAGCTGCCTTATAAATGCAAGGCTTGAGATTCAACCCCCAGAATGAAAAATTTTGACTAAGCTAAATTTATTTTTCAATTACAGTTAGAATTCCATTATGGAAGAGGCTATTATGAGATGAAAGGGACTGGAAATAAGTAAGTAAATAAAACATGTATCAGGGCCTCTGACATGATGGAGAATTTATTTTTTAAAACCCTTCCTATGATTAATCTTCTTTTAGGAAATATTTCCTGTCACGAAACCAGAGAAATTTATTATCCAGTGACTCACAGTGAGATTCATCCCTGATTGGTTATGTTGTTGCTCTTGCTTTAAAATGGAAAAGTAGTTAGAAAGACAAACATGCTATTTGTCTTAAATTTGGTTTGCATTTTGACAACTCTCACAGAGAGCCTTTTAATGGAAGAGACTCATTGGTTCAACTGGTGGTGAGGAGATGTTTATGGCTCATCTGCTTTACTGATTCAAAAGGATGAGGGAATCTGTGTGAGGCGGCATCCTTCTCAGTTGTTTGAAAGGAGGAGACAAAGGCTCATATTTAATGGATTTAAAATTAGTTTTAGCTTGTTGAGATCACATGCAGAAGACTCAGGGAGTCATTCTAATATATTACAGAAAGAGAGAGAAGAAGAAGAAGAAGAAGAAGAAGAAGAAGAAGAAGAAGAAGAAGAAGAAGAAGAAGAAGAAGAAGAAGGAGAGGGAGAGGGAGANGAGGGGGAGGGGGAGGGGGAGGGGGAGGAAGAGAAAAAGACAGTCTATCATCTGACCCACCTTTTGGCCTAGTTTCTAACATTTATTGGCAATTCTTTAGTCATGTAATGTTTTTCCAGGGGTCCACCTGTCATTCATTGGACCACAATCCTCTTTAAACACACCTCAGAAGCACACTGATTGAGAAAAAAAAATTGCATCAAGTCAGAAGAAAAATCATGGATCAAAAACAGACCTCAATTGTCATTCACCACCCCCACCTCTGGACATGCAAAGTCTCATTGGGTTGTCTTATAAATTTGACTTATAAATCCAGAACTACCTAAAATAAAGATGATATGAAAATATTCATTTTTACTTTTTCAGTTAAACATTCATTTCTTTGTGCATGCAAGCTTGTGTGTGTGTGTGTGTGCATCCATGTATGTGTGTATGTGTGTGTGTGCACGCACATGCCATAGTGCGTGTGTTGAGTCAGAGGACAGCCTGTAAGGGTCAACTTTGTCTTTCCAGGATGCAGATTCTGGGGATGGAAAAGTGAAGCTTCTCACTGGCCTTTTTCTGATGTTTTAGAAAGCATTTTATGTTAAAATCAGCAGGAACCGAGAATGAACTGTGAACAAACGTGATGGCATGAATGAACCCCAGTCCGTCATGATGAACAAAAGCTGCTAAACACATGGACTTTTGAAAAATTCAAGATTGTAGAGGAAATTGATATCAGTAGTGGCCACAGGCTGTGGGTGAATGAAGGGAATTGACTCTAAAGGTACAGGAAGTAATCGCTGGACCAAACAGAATTCCTTACCTTCATGGTAGCTGTGGCGGCTATGTGGCTACGGCTATGCATATATTTTATTAAAATGCATAGAATGTCGCACCTGAAAAAGGATTACTGACCACATAAAAACAATCTAGTAATAACTTTGTTTTAAAATTTTGTTCTTAAGAGCTACTTTCCCCATTTTTTTACGAAGTAATGGCCCCAGTCTTGTTTTTCTTTCTGCGATACCCTGCGGTGTGTATTTTTCAGATGCACTGCTCGCCAGCATTTCTGCCGGGGTGCAGGCACCTGGGCACTTCCATGTGATGACATGACCAGACAGAATGGTTCATTTTCTTTAGAGAGGACGGGAAATTGCTGGTGAAGAACAGCCCGACTGTTACCAACATTCTTACAAGTTCAAAATAGCTCTTTATTTTTGAAAGATTGTTTTCACTGATTCGAGTCCTTTAATTTTTTTTCTTTTATTATTATTATTACTATAAATTTTCACCTCCTCCCCTCCTCCCATTTCCCTCCCCCTCCCCCCACTCTCCTTTCCCCTCCCTCTCCAGTCCAAAGAGCAGTAAGGGTTCCCTGCCCTGTGGGAAGTCCAAGGTCCTCCCCACTGCATCCAGGTCTAGGAAGGTGAGGATCCGGGTCCTTTAATTTTTAACTGACAACCACTACCTACTAGAGCTTGAAAAGGAAAATTGTAAAATTACCGGGATTCTCGTACAATGTTAAAAAATGTCATAGGTTAAGTACTCACCGGATTGGGTTGTTTTCTTCACAGAAAGCATGAATGTTAAATGGTTGAAAAACATGAGTGTAAATTATTGAACACTGTTTAAAAGGATGCAGGTAATGGAGGTCCATGCCTCTGCTCATCTCTGATCAGTATAGTGGAGACTCGGTCGCTAAAGGCTTCTACAGCAGAGGGTGAATGCTCGGTGACAGAGATGAGATGAGAGTCATGGTGAACCACAGCCTCTTCCTAAAGACCCCAGGGCGTGCAGCATAAAGCTGGAGAGGATGGAAAAAGCTCTCACTGGGGAATGAAGTTCCAAGTGTTGCCTAAGATCTTGGGCTGAAATGAGAATGTGTTTTCATTTCCTTTTCTTTACTTTTATTTCTTTATCTTTTGAGACGGAATCTCACTATATACCCAAGGCTACTCTCTAAATCACAATCTTCCTGCCTAGGCCTTCCAAGGGCTGCCATCACAAGCATGCCCCATTGTGCCTGGAAATAAAAGTGAATGACTCAGCAAGAATGCGGGACAGAGCCGTCCTGGGACCCACTGAGGCTTGTGTTTAAGAACATTTTAGGATGTTCCTGAGAAATCAAAAATAATTATATTTTCTTTCAGCTCATGTATCGCACATTGGCAAAAACAAATTGTCTATACTTTCTTTTACAATCTATCCTTTGGCTTCTGTTATATAATAGTGTATTTATATCTTTTCTCCGCTTTTTAAAGTGGCCAATTTATCTATCACATGAGATACCTTCTTATTTTAAGATTATATATATGTATCCTACCTTTTAAAAATTAAAGCCCATAATTTAGTTTCCTACCACTGCTTTTAGATGCATCTGCCATTCGTTTCTGGTTGCTGTGTCTGGTCTCAGGAGCAGCCTTGCCCAAATTCACATTCTCTTTACAGGGGTAGCTCACATCGAGGACTTAATCCTTCAACTGTTCTAGGCTTCCAGGCTGGACATTTCTAAAGGCGCAGCCCATCCTCACTTAAGGCTGACTGAGTTCCCAGTTTGGAGCATAACTCAACTCCACTCTTTGACACTGGCTGCTTTCTCTGCATGCCCCTCAGAGGGTGACCCCCAGGGTCACATAAAAGGCAACCCATCTCTGTCTCAAAAAAAAGACATTTTGAGGGAGCTTCCAATTTGAAATGAACTTGAAGTAGCTAACTAAATGTGTTTTTCTTCCAAGGAACAGATTACATTGTACTGAGTAGTTTGGCTTTGTACTTCCATTAATTTTTTAAAAGAAGTTTTATTGGGATGGGCATGCACATGGTAGATGCTCATGGAGGTCAGAGGACAGCCTTTATGAGCTGGATTTTTCCTTCTGCCGTGTGGATGCTGGGAATTGAACCCACTTCTTCAGATTTGACATCAGCTATCTATACTTGCTGAGTCATCCTTCACTGCTCCAGAACTTCCAGTTTTAAATATCACCTTCGTTATATTGTGAGTTTCCCTTTCGACATAGGTTTGTTTTCGGCCTCTTTAGAATATCTGAATCTTCTTTTTATATTTTTAAATTATTAGTATATTTTTTATGTGCATGTGTGTTCTCCCTGTGTGTGTGTATTTGCCTGTCTGTCCACAAGGAGCATGCAGTGCTCTCAGAGGACATCGGATTCTCTCAAACTGGAGTTATAGATGGCTGCTAACCATCGTGTGGGTGCTCTGAACCAAATCCAGTTCTTCTGCAGGAGCAGCAAGTCCTCTTAACTACTAAACGTTCTTTCCAACCCCTTCACAAAAGGTTTTGTTGATGGTAGACTTAAGATAAGTTTTGACTCTCAGCCAGACAAGTTCCTATATACTGTTCTCTTTGTTCTGTTTGCTTATATTTCCTCTTACAGGTGAAATTTACTTTGTTTCTCAAGAACATATAAAAACACAAAGTGGGTTTTACTTGCCATGTACTAGGTGTATAATGTATGAAGAATTAAAGCATTTAAACAGATTTTTTTCTACATGTATATCATTTTTTAAAAAAATCCAGAATTAATATAGAATTCAAGGAAACAATGCAGTCATTGCCCTTTGTTAGGCTTGTAGACTCTTGTTGTCTGAGGTTTCTGTCCCACCGGCTTCCCGTAGTCGTTAAGTTCCAAAAAAATCACACAGAGGTCTGCATTAGTTATAAACTGATTGGCCCATTAGCTCAGGCTTCTCATTAACTCTTATAACTTATATTAACCCATTTTTTTCTTGTCTATGTTAGCCACGTGGTTCAGTACCTTATTTGACAATGCAGTCACATCTTGCTTCTTCTGTGGCTGGGTCACAACTGCAGACTGAACTTCCCTATTCCCAGAATTCTCACTGTTCTGCCTCTACTTCCTGCCTAGTCACCCCACCTATACTTCCTGCCTGGCTACGGGCCAATCAGCATTTATTTAAAATATAAGTGACAGGGTACAGGCTATTGTCCCACAGCAGACTCTCATAGTTTTTTTTTCTTATATATTATAAACTTATTTCTTGATAGGTTTATTTCTAGAAGTTTTGACATAGTCATTTCTGTTATTGATGGCTACCTGAGATTTGAAGGCTAATTTTTTTTACATTTATTTTATTTATTTATTTATTTATTAAAGATTTCTGTCTCTTCCCCGCCACCGCCTCCCATTTCACTCCCCCTCCCCCTCCCTCATCAGTCCAAAGAGCAATCAGGGTTCCCTGCCCTGTGGGAAGTCCAAGGACCACCCACCTCCATCCAGGTCTAGTAAGGTGAGCATCCAAACTGCCTAGGCTCCCACTAAGCCAGTACGTGCAGTAGGCTCAAAAACCCATTGCCATTGTTCTTGGGTTCTCAGTAGTCCTCATTGTCCGCTATGCTCAGCGAGTCCGGTTTTATCCCATGCTTTTTCAGACCCAGACCCAAGGCCAACTAATTTC